ACTAACTAAAGCATAAGACTAGGTACTGAGGAGCTGGGACTCTTTTCTGTCCCTCTCCCTAACACACTTTGAAAGTCACTGCTCCTCAAAAAAAAGGTTTTAAAGGAATCATTGCTCTTAGGTGCCTTCCAACTTCAACCTTCCAATTTAAGATATCCAAGATGTGACATTCAGGAGTGCTGTGCACTAACAAAATCTCATTTTCCCCTCTAGTTCCATCTTGGAATTAGTCCTCATTAGTCTTACATGGATTTTCACCAGCATCCTCTGTGCCACAATCCTGTTTACTGCTCCTACCCAACACTTTCTTATATTGGCAATATGACCTGAAATCTCAGCAGAGCCTGCTCTCCTCTGATCCAAATTGCCAGCAGGTCTCAGAAGTTTTTTCTCACATCTTCCTGTTTCAGAATATGTCCTAATGCTGCTGGCAACAGAACAAGTGAGACTTGGAACTTCCCTTGAGTGCTAATCACAACTTACAGTTGCCTCATTGCAACTTCTCTCACTTTTCTTACATCCCATTTTAATTCCGTTGTGTAAAACCTTAGCATGCCTTTCTGTTTCCTTCTGTGGAGGCACACATGCACACTTATGCAAAGCCTTATGTCAAAAGAGCCTTCAAAGTCAACACTCCGTTAGGCTATGTGGGAATTAGCATTCTTCTGCAGCTGTAATTTGCCCCCACTGTTGTGTATATATTGTGATTCAAGTTTTAATTACGTGATTCCATGTTATTTTTCTGTAAGACTTCTTCCATCCATTACCAGTATATACTGTGCCCCACGGATGAAGCAAGGTGAGGTATTGAAAGAAGCTGTTGTAGAAACTGGAAAGTGCATAGAGAACAAAGAGACCATTGGAAGAAGAATGTTGTGCAAGTTAAAGTTGAACGCTATGCTAGAGAATTAAATTCCATCCTTTACTTTGGCAAGTAATTCCTATGTGATTCTAGGAGAGTCATGTACAACTACAAACTGAAGTCAGTGGTTTAGCTTTTAATGGTAATGTGATCTATAAAATTAAGTGCTTTATAAAAAGTCTAATCCCAGACATCTCAGCTTGGACACCAAAACAACCTTACCTTAACCTTAGTCTTTCCAGGTCTCAAGTTTTCATTTAGAAAATGCAGAGAATAGCTGTCCCTTATGTCAGCCAGCGATGTGACAATAAGGTGTTTTTTTTTAAAAAAATCTTTTACTGTAGTGGTGATGTCATAAAGAGACTGAAGAAATTTTAGTAATTTGTTTCCCTGAGCAGAGCTCAAATGGCATGATCTGCCATCAAGTAATGAGGATATAAGAAAATACTAAAAAGTTACATGCTTAATGAGTAGCACTCACCCTCTGTGAATAATATGTGTTCATTGCAGACTATATAATACTGCATGTACAGAAGGAAAATTGCAATAGCATGAAAATCTTGAATTCTGTTCTTTCAAAATAAGTGCTTGATTTAAAGTATAAAAATAGCCTATGTATAGAAGGAGGCAGAGGAAAATTGGAGGTTATACGCGAGTCCTTGACTTAGTCTTTAACAAAGGAATCTGGAAAAAAAAAGGAATCAGAATTTCACCATGTGGTATCACAAGGCTCATCAACAGAGTTGCTATAATTAGATCCACAGCACAGTCCTTTACCACTTGTGCTAATTAAGTGTTTGATAACAGTAGTAGTGAACTGTTAGCTTTTACAGTAACTGACCCTACAGAGGAAGCAGGGTAAGCAACATACATCTTTTTAGTCAGGCTTAACTCCAACCTGTGCCACTGGCTTGACAACAGAGCAGAGCCTCTTTTCTGGTATCTGACTCTACACTAACCAGGAGCTATAATTTCAGGTAATATCCTACTTAATCTTGGCAGTCCAGCAAGGTAGATATGCTTACTCTGGAGGGCTGGCTCCTGCACAGTCCAGTCATGCATTGGAGCTGGCTCACAGGCTCACCAAAAATAGCTCTTCCTGATCTTAAAGAGCGGTTCAATTTCTATAGAGTATATTCAAGAGAAGATTCCCAGATTTACATGGATTTTTTTTATGAAATAGGAAAAGTCACTTAACTGAGGCAGGCCTTGCCTAATTTTAAGTTGTTCCCAGTCATATGCACGGGAGAAATAATTGTATTTGTGCTTAATATAGCACACAGTTCTTCCTAGTCTTGGTAAGAAACAGCTGAAGTACTTTAGCTGAAGTTTTCAAATAAAATACAGCTTGAGACAAAGATTTGGCTTTGAAAATTTCAACCCCTAGATAGCCAAGGTGAAAAAAAAACCTAAACAGCAGAAGACAACATGCTATATTGAATGCACTTACAAGTAATGGGTGCCATCTGCAATAAGTTACTGCTATCAGAAGGCTAAATTTTGCTGCTGAAATTATCGGGAACAACCCTTGTTTTCTAAGCTGGCTCAGAAGGAAGACCCCACTTCTGCTGCAGCCCTTTGTAGAATTACTTCTGATTTTCTAGGCACTATTTGTAGTTTAAAAAAGGGTTGGTGCGTTGGCCTGAAATGTCTGACAAGACTTATACTTCTGTAAGCATCTACTGTAGCAATAGTTCTCTTCTAAATGATGCTCAGCTGTCCTCATACTGCTTTCCCCCTCCTAGCTGTAATCAGTCTGATCTTATCAACAGGCCTCTCTGAAATGGTCAAGTGGGTGGTGTTAATGGGCTGGATGGAGAGATGCCTTCATTTAAAACTTAACTTCACTCTTGTGAAGGTGTTAACAAGTATCTAGCTGCTTAAATATCCTGATACTTTGCAGTTACCATTGAAAACTGGAGATTTGCATTAGATAAAGGAATTCTAAAAGCTTTGTAAAGGGTGGAGGTTGTTAGAAAACTGAAATTTGTCACTTGCTGCATATTCATTTTAGAGCCACACTCTGCCACTTCCAATTCCACAGCCTGTCTGGAGCTCTAGGGCTGCCTGTGACCCATCTTTCCTCACATCTTTCTGTGGGCACTAGTGTTTTAGTGCCTCAAAAGCTTCTCTTGTAGAAGAATTCCAGCTTTGATGTCCCAAAATGCTGGATCCAGAAGTTCCATCTGATGCAATGAGATAGTAAGCAGTGATCTGTCCCAGCCCAGCCTGCTAGGGAAACAAGGCTAAATAAAAGAAGATGAGTGAGCTAGCTGAGAGGAAGTCAGAGAAAGCAAACATTTTGCTGCCTTTAGCTTGCTGGTAGCTTTCAGCAAATCTGGCTGAGGAGGGGGAGGCAGAGAACTGCCTGTGCGAAGGGAAGGAAGTGACAGCGTAGTCATTAGCAGACTGTGACCCTCTGTCACAGGGGCTCCTGACATAAACGATGATTGTATTGAAGCATGAGGCTGGATAGAGACCTCTGTGCTAATTTAATAAATTGCTTGCATTTAGGGCCCCAGATTGTTGCTGTTACATTTTTTGCTATGTGATGCCACCTGGGATTAACAAGGAGGAGGGGTTGAGGGGGGGTGGGGAGAGGAAGAAAGCAGCCCAGGTCCGTTAGCAACCGCTGGTGTGACCTCACTCCTTGTCCCAGGGGGCATATGAGATCATGAGAATGCCAGAGCTCTCTGAAGGATTCGATTTGTTCAGTACAGCAGGATGGCCTGCCGAGTGATCTCATCTCTGAGACCCTAGGGAAGGGCGCTAGCTGCTGCTAGCCTTGTGGACTGCAGAGAACTTAATCCCCACTCCAAATCTCACCAATTAACGACTGACCTGTGATGACATCACTGATGACAAAGCTAACTGGGACAACACAGCAAAATTCCAGGGGAATTTCCCCTTCTCCATGATCTTACCAAAATAATTTTGACATGTCAAAACCAAATCTTTCAGTCCAGATAATGTCACTGCAGATTAAGCATAGTTCTGGGCTCACGGCTTGCCCTGACTGAGTGCCCTGTTACCAGTTCTCCCTTTTAAACAGTAGGACAGAACATAAACAGGTTCTCGTTAAGATTGGGAGCCCCTAAATTAGATCACCTAATTTAGCCAGCTTCTCTAGTGTTAAGTGTTTTAAAATAGAAATTATGCGGTAAGAAAAATCCATTTCAGTTGTTGCACCTCATGGTTGTAGTAAGCCAGGAGGGAGTTTATGTTACCTTGCAGGAGTCCTTCAAGGAAGGAAAGCTTTCTAATTGGAGTAACACCAGAATGGCAAGGACAGCTTTGATGAAGGTTCACAAAGGGTGTTGCCCATTCTTTGAGTCTCTTTTGAGAGGAAAGTGTCTCAACCAGCATGCTTCCCTCCTCCCCACCTTTTCTTCCTTAAGGTATTCAGGAAGGTTTTATATCTTTGAGTTTAAAATGCCTTGAGGGTTGGGGGTTTTTTTGTTGTTTTTTTTGTTTGTTTGGTTTTTTTTGGTTGGTTGGTTGGTTTTTTTGTTGTTTTTTTTTTTTGTTGTTGTTGTTTGTTTGGTTTTCAGCACCATCCTTTTTACCTGTGTACTGTACAAGAGCCAACGCAGAGTTGAAGGGGCAGGATGCTGGCAGATAGATAATTTCATTCTTTGGAATTACCTAGAAAGCTGTCAGAAAGACCAAATTTCACCTTATATTTCATTGCTGTGCCTTTGGAAGGTATGTAGGATCAAAGAGGCCTACCTTGCATTCCTTTTCTCTATATTAGTAGTACCTACAAGATTATATGACATAAAATGGAAGTCTTAACCTCTGTTGCTAGTGTTCTGTAGCATTGTCCAGATATACAATAAATTGTATATCTGTAGCCTGCTCCAAAAGTTTAAGGTTCAAAACTGTAGAATAGCTGGATAAGTAACAGAGCAGGAGGAACACTGTGAAACAGTGAAGAGATAGGTATCCTTTCTGGGCACCGAATGAAACGGCTGCAAAGAAAGCTGCATCTCCTGAATACTGGGCTTTGTACCATTAATAGAGTGTGTAGGTGGACAGTGAACACAAGTCTTGTAAGCTTCAAGCACTGCACCTGTTAAGTGCTCTTCTTTTGGCTTCCTGACAGTAATCATGTATCACTTGTTTGGTTGTTTTACAGGGAAAGTTTTACCTGGTTATTGAGGAGCTGAGCCAGCTGTTCCGCTCCCTTGTCCCCATCCAGCTATGGTATAAATACATCATGGGAGATGATCCATCCAGCAGCTACTTCCTAGGTGGGATCCTGATCATCCTGTATAGTCTCTGCAAGGCAAGTACCACCTCATTAATAACATCTATGGAGCTGTATCAAAGGCAGGAGAAACAACACAGCTGAAGGGAACAAATACACCTTTTGATTATTGCTATCACTACCCAGGAAGGGAAGCTGCAGCACCTGGAGACACCAGATGCTTTAGCTGCCAAAAGCATTTTGCTTCAGCAGTATGTGGGCATTGCTGAGCTAGAGGAAGATCTGTGACTGCTCGTGTAGTGTTGCATCAGGCTTATGAAGTCATTGCTGCTTTCTCATATCTTTCTATAAAGGCTAGAAGAGAATGGGAGTGGAGTCTTTGGGGACCAGTCCTGGAAGAGATGTTAGCTGCCTCCAGACTTCTAGATTATATTTTGAAAGAAAGGTTGCAGACAGTTAAATGTTTCTCTAAGCCTTCCTGTCTTTCAAGGCAGGGTAGGTACTGTGATACACAGTACTGAATGCAGCAGGGAGAGGGAGGGTCACCCATGCCCTGCTTAGATAAAACAGGTAGTTCTGGCCCCATTGTAGGTCCTGGTCTAGCAGATACAAGTCCAGCATCCCAGTGATGAACAAGAGTAATTAATGTTTCCTCAAAAACAAGAATTGTAAGAGCACAAAGTCTGCCTGTACAATTGTAAATGAATAGATATGGCTTATTTAGAAGAGTCCTGAGTCTGAGGTCTAGAAATATCGGTATTTCTAATTGTGTGTATTGAACTCTGCCTGGGGGCAGAGCAGTAGCTGAAACAAATAATGACATACCTGTGTTATCCATCCCCCTGAGAAAGGACAAGCGAGTCAAGCTTGCTGCAGCCCTGATACTTGTCTCTACCTAGGAGAAAGGGGTTATGGCTTTGCAAAAGCTGACTGAAGAACAGAGAAGAGAGAGTATATCTGAGCTGAAAACAGCTCAAAGGGGCTAATGGACTGCTGAGCAATATTAAATCATACTATAGCTCTTTTGTGAGCTGTGGCTGCAGTTGCAGCTCAATGTTGTATTGGAATGGGGCAGTGCAACCCCTGCTGTCAAGGAATTTACGTTTTTTGCAAACAAGGTAAGCAGAGGAGGTCACGGAAAGTGAAGTGACTTGGTCACAGCATGTCTGTGATCAAGCCAGAAACATAGCAAACAGTGCCAGAATAGAAGGCATGAGACCAGCGTAGTTCCCTGCAGAGCCATCCATTCTCTCAGCTGTGTGCTTCCTGCTCTTTACTCCGTGCTGTGGGATTGTTTCCCCTTTCAGAGGTGTCATTGTCTGGATCTACTCTAGACAGTGGTATCAAACCCTTCCATTCCCTTCTAACTCGTCAGATCCATTATGCAGATCACAATCACAAGAACAGATTTCAAATTATCTGTCTGGTGTCCCATCTTTCAAAAGTTACTCAACACTCGGAGGAAGGATACTTGCCTGCAGTTCTACATGCCATTTCTTACATCTGAAGAAGTCCTCCTAGAGTGAAGCAGCAATGGGGGCCATCTGCTCCTTGGAGAAAGGGGAGCGGAGCACAAACACACAGCTGGCAGGGCAAGGGCCTCACCAGCCAGGGCCCAGCCCTACAGCACCCAAACAAAGGAAGCAGGGAAGGCCTGGAGGTGATATCAATGTTCAGAGAGTCCAGATCTACAGGTGGTACAGAAGGTCCAAGATAAAGCCAAACCATCAATCCCCAGGGCAGGATCAGGTCTGGTGAAGGCAGCCAGCGTCAGACACAGCCCAGTAATTGTAGGGCATAGCTATGGCAATGAGGCAGGCTGAAGGTGAAGAAGGGAAGGTCATTCCTTGTGCTGGGGAGTCCGGATCAGTGGGATCTGTAGCCAGGCACAGGTATGGCTCTGGCTGAGCTGGAAACCAGCACTTGCATAGCACAGCTCAGACATGAGCTGAGGCCTCCAGAGCTGAGTTTAAGTAGAGCTCCTGGGCCCATGGGCAGGGACTGTGGGCGGAGGCCCCAGGTGAGGCTCATCAGGGCCATGAAGGCCTATTAATGCCCTCTGGGCTCCAACACAGAGGTGCTGGCAATTTTTAATGGATTAACTTGATGTTTCTGTACTACAAAGCCTTTATAAGTAGTGTTGTCATGATCAAGACTGGAAAAGCAACCTAATTTTGAAAAGTTCTTCTGATCGGTTATTTAGAAGCTCTGTGAGAAGAGGACAGCTATCTACTGGCCTTGCCTACAATTTAGGACCAGGATTGTGGGGTACAGTTTCGTGAAAGTGCCTTGGCTATAGCCTATGCCTTTAACATGCATGTTTCTTCCTTTAATTCATCTAGTTCATCAGAGGTGTAAATGGAGGGCTAGGCCAGCTGAAGGGTGATAGGTTCAGGAACATGTCCCAGGCCATTGTTGGCAGCTACTTAGCACCACAGATGTGTCCAGGTTAGGATTAGAACTCTGCACTCCAGAGACTTTGCTTGGAAGTGAAACAAAAGTGGGAGGACACTCTTCCAATACAGACCATGAAATGCTAGGTGCATTCATCCCATTTACAAGCACAAGAGTTGCAGGTCTAATTCCTTGCCTGAGACACTGAAAATATACCCAACGGAGTCCACATTAGCAAAGCCACAAACCACATTAGAAAAACCACAGAAGCCAATTTGGCACTCAGACCTTCTGTGCTCCTGGCAAAAATCCAGGGCTCAGCTAGGGCTGCGTCCCCTTTCCCTACACAAAGGGCAGGCTCGACTTTCAGAAGGTTGTATATAGTGCAGCTGATACGAGCTGTCTTGGTGTCTTGTCTGGCCTGCGTAAACATGAACCTCTGATTTTGGCAAAAAAATCCCAGATGTTCATCAGTAAGTGCATCCAGGTCTTATTTTCTCCCTATCCTGAACAGAAGCACTCACTGTCTGTGAATCCAATTGTTGCAATCATATTGCTGGAAAGATGACTGATGCAACATAGACTTCAGTGCATGGGGTAATAAGTGGACGTTAAACTACTGAAACATGCATCTTCTGGGGGTACAGGAAACTCCAGAGGGAAAAAAATTAAAGAGGGGAAATGGATTGGGAGAAAGGGAGACATCAGAGCCAGAGCAAAGGCATCAGAAGACACTCTAAGCAAAGCAACCAGAAAAAGCCGTGAATTGGACTGTGGAAAAGAGCCGATTCCTCTCCTTGTTAGAAGATAAAAAGTCTGTAGCAGTCGGCAGCCTCAAATGCTAGTTGCTGACTGGAAGCATTACTGGAAGGACCCTGGGAGCCTTTTTACGTGCTGACTGGAAGCATTATTGGTGCCTTCATTTGATTCCACATCTATTGCACGATGATCTCATTGGCATTCCCTGCAGTGAGCCCACTTAATCATGCTAACCAAAAAAAAAAAAAAAACAAAAAAACCCAAGCCAACTCCAGGCATTCTGGTGCCTTTGTACTGCTTGTCCACTACCGCTCTGCATATTCTGCATGACATCTTCCCCTGCCCTCCTAGCCACTTCTCGCCCAGACAGGTTAGAAATGGAAAGGTCCTGTCTGTTATGTCGTCTGGCCCTTCTCCCAACCAATGCAGGGCTGTTCTTTGCACAATCATTTCTTCATACCTTGTCTAGTTTATAGTGTCTTTTTCCCTGTGTTCTGCCAGAAGATAAGGAAGATGAAGCTGGCATACCAGATTAGGTTTTCAAGCTGTTTTCCCTTTTATTAGTAGTAGCCTGTCTTCACTTTAAGAACTCTGAGTGTCTCCTCTCTTGCTCAACCCCTTGATATTTGGAGGCAGTTTATCATCTTTTCCCTCCATTTTCGTACTGCTCAGCCAAGCTGTAAATATTTATGTCTTTTAGTCTCTTTTCAGAAATCATTTTCTGCAGGCTCATTTTCTGCCCTTCTCTGAACTGCTTTTAGTCTTTAATGAGGAGCCCAGAATGAGCGCTGCTCTCCAGATGCAGTTACATCATGTTTGCTGGGCAATGGAGGGAGGGGGGAAAGAAAAGAACCTGGTATTGGCCCCGCTGTTGGCCATCTTTGGGCATCTTCAAAGTACCGGGGTGCTGGAAACTCACTCCCTTCCTGGCATTTGAAGTTTCTCACTCTTTAGGCAGATGGGAACAAGTCAGCCTCAGTCCTGCTTCCCATTCCTCAGTCTGTTCTTTTCTTGGTAGCATTTAATCACTGCACTCTGCTAAATCACTCTCTGCAGCAGGACAGGCAATTCCCGCTCCTTCTTTCATAATATCATCTGGGCCTCAAAGTGTCAAGCTGTGTGGCAGAGCCACACAATCCTGGAAATCCCGCTTATCCCCAGAGGCTGAGGAAAGCCATTTTGTGCTTCTTCCGTGTGAAAAGACAGCCCTTTCTTCCCTCTTTCTGAAGCTAGCCACAGTATTTTCTAACCTCACTTCTGGACTTCTCAGGCACTCGGTTTTCAGAGCAGGAAGGGGTCCATTTTAGCCCTTTCCTACTTAGTGGAGCTGGGCAATTTACCCTACCGCAACGCCCTGATACCTGCTCCTCTTCCTGTCCTGTAAAATCCCTGATTTGTAATCCATTGTTATCAAAGCTTTCTTGGCTACCCTTCTCCACTGTCAATTCACATTTATTGCATACTTCATGATCACCATGAAATCTTTTTTGGCACCATTGTCACTTAGGATCTTTGTTCCCTCTGACTATCCATTTCGAGACACTAGTTCCTGAGTTTCTGGACTGTACACGCACACATACACGCGCACACATACACACACACACACATTTTGTGAAAAGTATCTAAAATAGAATGTCTTTATTGCAGTCTTTTGACATCTGTGGTCGTGTGGGAAGTGTCCGGAAGGCACTGAAAGTCCTTTGCACCCCACAGGTAAGTATTCATAAGTATTCACAGTTTCATAGGTGAAACCTTGTTGCTATTGAATCATGGAGTTGAAAATTTCTCAGTGTATCAGGATCATAGAATAAAATAATTTGTTGCCCTTTGGCTGGATAAGCTGGTATCTCTTGTCAGGGATGTTAGGAAGCTTTTGTGATATCTGCCCTGTCCCAGCTGTGGTAAGAGATTGTTGCTCATCTGGCCTGTTTTGTCGGATTGGAAACGCCGTGTCATGAATTAATCCATTGAGGCCAAAACTGCAAGAAGCTGACAAATCTTTGTAGTGCAGAGTGTGAGAAAGACTTTCAATAGAAGTATGTAGTGCCTGATGTGCAGTGACATTAAAATAGATCCTACAGTACACAGAAATTATTCCAGACATTGCATTATACAGTGCTGATATTTAGATCTGTTGTAGTAAAATACTGTGACTTATATTTTAAAGACTGTAGAGGAAAGAAACATAACATCATAGAAGTTTGTTAAAGCTTCCCTTGCTTATTCTGTGGGCTTGGGCCAGTTACTTTTCCTCCGCATGTTTCCATTTCCCCTATTACTGTTACAAAAGGAGAAGCAACATTTACCATCCATATATTTAAAAAGAAAAGTGGGAAGCCTGTGGGTACTGCTGCTGTTATTCTTTCTTCTATTGTCTAACTTGCTAATAATAATACCTCCCACTATCTAAACACCTCTGCAAATGATGCTGAATTAATCCTTTCAGCTCCCTGTTGAGCTCATTAAATTTCATTATCATTGCTCCACAAGTGCAGGCACTAAAAGATGGAGTCAGCTCGAGGGGAAAACAAAACAGAGAGCACAGAGCTCCAGGCTCCCTCTGTTCTGTGTGCTGGGGCCCAAATCTCCCTGCCCCATACACAGTGACATAGCACCGGTGTCCTTCCCAGGTCACACAGGGAATCTGGCTGTGAAAAACAGTGTCTTATGTATATGCTTAGCCACAAACCAGATTATCTTCAAACCCTTTGACACTGGGATTTTTTTCCACCTCTCCCTAACAGACCTATGGAGTTCGTGCTACCAGCCAGCAATGCAATGAGGCAGGTGACATCTGTGCCATTTGCCAAGCAGAATTCAGGGAACCTTTGATCCTTATGTGCCAGGTAAGACCCCAAGCTTTCCATGTCAGCTTCCCCTGTTGGCATTCATTTGGTTAACTTCTGCAGCTGGGGAGAGGCACAGTTAGCCTAGGTACTTCTAAAATCATTTGCTGGGTCTTTATCTAGGTCCTGTTTATTGCCCTCTTCCAGATAGCCAGTGATTCATGGTAGCTGAGCTGCTCTTTAGGGGCTGATCATAGCTATTGAGAGGGAAAAGACCAGCCTTGTAGCCCAGGGACTGCCAGTTGGCAGTCCAGATCTTGGATCTAGAATGCAAGACATTTTTATCTGACTCCTGGGGAGACTGGCTAGTCAATAGTCAAAGCGAATGATCAGCAAGTGCCACGAGAGGGGCCGCGATCCAGAATGAGCCTGATAGGGTGCATGAAGACTGATGCAGCACCATGTCATCGTGGTCTGGCCCCGGAACACCTGGACAGGAATAAAAGTAGTTCTGCATATCAAAGTTAGTCACCACTGCCAATAAATGGGAATTGTCCTGTTTCTCACTTGGTAAACACCGGCAAAACCTAGACCTTAAGAACGGCATGCTCTGAGTAATGCAGTAATCCTAATCTGGTGCGGGTAAAACCCTTCGAACACACCACGCTGCCGTGGGTTCTGTTAATATGTCAGAGGCCAGCTGAAGGAATTGCCTCCTGGCCAGACTGGTGATGCTTCTCCAAAATTTTCTTTTCAGTTGCTTGTCACTCAGTAAAGCTTTGTCTGTTGAGGTTGAAATTCTACGTCCTGGAGGTTATTATCTCTGGCTGATGTGTGGTGTGTGCTGGAAAACCGTAGGCAGAATGATTCAGCCGTTTCTGGAAGTGGAATTGGTGGGATACATGCTTTCTTGTGATATCAAAATAAAGCTCAAGAGCCTTTTTCTGAAGAGCTTTAACATTTCCACACTTTGTCATAGGGTTATCAAACTAAAGCAAGTAGGTCCCCTGTGCATCAAACGTGCCTCTTACTATTCCTGTGAACATCTGTGCAGATGTTATCAAGCTGGAAGCCCCAGAGAAGCTATTTCTGTATGTGCTTATCAGAGCCGAGATTTTGAGGAGTAACATTTCTGCTGACTCCAGATGTGTTGAGGAGGTCTCGGATTCTTATGGCTTCTGATACACCCTCCTTGCCCCGTTCCTGCTCTTCTGGGCTGGGGTAGATGGGGTCGTGTGCTGGACATCCATCCCTCCTGATCTCTCTACCCAAGGCAGGCTGGAGGGAGAATCCTGTTGAGGCTCAGTGTAGGAATGAGAGGAGAAGATAAGGGGTGAAAACTGACATTTATAAAGAAGGGGAAGCGAGGACTGTGAAGCTCCTGACTAGAACCGGGTGGTTTCAGCAGAAAAAAACAAATGCAATAAGGAGTAGGGGGAAGGAAGGGGGTTGTCTGAGCTAAATAAAGGCTTGTAAAATAAACAGGGGAGCTGAGGATGCAAACAGGGTAGAGAAGACCCTCTCTATGTCATCGGCCTTTTTAATGTTTATTGCAATATTAAGAAACAGAGTAATATAGCAGTAGGTTTGGCAAACTGATGTACTAGTAATGCTGGGATTTATTTTTCATATCACGTGAGTACTACTGATCAGCTGCACTGTCCACCTCAGCTTGAGTTGTTCCTTGCTCCCATCGCTGTCCTGTTGAGTGTGCACACTTAGTGACAGGACTGGACCTCTGCCCTCACCGTGACAATGCTCTTTTCTCTCCACAGCACGTGTTTTGTGAAGAATGCCTCTGCCTCTGGTTTGACAGGGAGAAGACCTGTCCTCTGTGTCGTTCTGTCACAGTAGAAACCCTGCGTTGCTGGAAAGATGGCACTACCTCTGCTCATTTCCAGGTGTATTAAAACAAACACATACCAACAAATGGAGTAACATGTGCAGAGAGAAAAAAAGCTGGAAAACGCTGTGATCTCATACCCCTATTTAGTTGCCTGTGGGTTTTTTGTCTTAGTCCTTCTTCCAGCTCTGTTTCTCCAGGAGCCAACAGAACAATTGTTACTAGCCAGAAACTTTATCCTCAAAGGCAAAAAAGATGTGTTTTATGTTATGGAAAACTCCATGGCTAAGCTAAAGCCAAGATTTTTTCTTGAACTTACATGGTTATGATCTGCTTGGGATGTTTCCTTTTTTTCTGTCCTTTTAGTATAGCTAAATATTGCATGTATAGGGCAAGTGTACTGCGAATTGCATGTGTGTAACCAGGTATACTGGAGAAAAGCTGCCCCTCCTCTGGTTCAGACTACTCATGAGATCTTTGACATTAAATGGCACTAGCTTGTCTGAATTTGCAAATTCATAGCATTACACTGTTGCTGCTATATTACCTTTGAGAACTCTCCCAAAACAGTGCTTCAGAACCTCATGCCCAGAGTTTATTTGGGGTCTGAGAAATGTCATTTCCCAGCAGCTGTGTTTTTGCAATTGATTCCACGAATTGTATGTGTTGTCATCTTAATAAAATGTCAAGGAACTTGGAAAAGACTATGCTACTGAAGGTGGAAAGGACACTTGCTTTTCTTTGGAATGTTTTTCCTCTTTAATTTTCCTTCAATTTTCACAGATTTTCTGATTTCCTAGCCTACAGGGAGGACAGTGGGAGGCAGGGAGAGATTGAAGTCAAGTTTGATTTATCTAGGTGAAAAGTTGACATCCTAACCAAGAGCATCTCACGAATTCAGGTGTCTCTGCAACGTGCTCCTCAGCACAGCCACGTAAGGCAAGGCTTGCCAGCTTTAGAAACCAGCGCCGCTCAGCATCCAGAACCTGCCTGGCTCCAAAACCAGGAGCAGTGTGCTCATGCAGCACACAGCCCGTTCAGCGCCGCTGGTGCCGGGAGCGTGGGGGCATCGGAATGCAGGGCCCCTGCGGAGCCTGGGCTCAGCAAGACTTACTGGCTTGAGGGCAGAATTACAGGGAAGCAGCTTCATGGCTTTGGGAGCTGGTCTGGGTTATACACAAGCTGGCTAATCCACCTGTGATGGTGGAGACTTGATTGTAGCACCTCCGCTTCAGAAAAAGCCCTTCGAGGAGGTACCTTGTATTGTTAACAGGAGAATTATCATGCTCGAAGTGCTGCTGTCCCCGTCTCTGCTGAGGGGGCTGCAGTGGCACTTGCATGAAAATAGAGTTGCTGTTTGTTCACTGGAGCTTTCCCTTTCACTAAACAACCTCTGCTTTTTGCTGCACGTCCAGAGAAAGTGCCTCATTAGGCAATTGTGGCATCTTCCATGCTCATTACTATGGAAATGGCCGTAAGGTTACAATCCCACTTGAGTGGATAATCAGGAAGAACTGTACCTGGGGGAAATGAGCCTATGTGTATGTACTGACTGCCGCCTTCCCCTCCTGCTGTGAAACTCCACAGGGAGAAGAATTAAAGCAAACAGGAGCTAATGGTAACAGCATTAAGGCTCAACATTTCTTTGGAAATAATATTTCAGTATGGCTAGAGGAGAAATGATGAGAGGCAGAGCCTGAGCAGGGAAGATAGTCCAAATCTGGCTTAGGAGATATGGGGAAGTAGAGGAGAAAAGCTTTACTTTCCAAAACAGAGTGATTTTATTCTTGTTAAATGGATCCCATGAAAGTGGAGACCTAAGGCAAGAAATCCAGTGGCTGTCTCCCACGGGAATAGCCTTTTGGGGATGGGGGAAGAGAGTTCAGTAAGGAAGGAAGCCAGATTTTCAGTGGGCATAAAGATGTTGTTATGTACAATAGTCCGGTGTATTCACCAGGAAAAAGGAAAATTCCTGATTTTGTGAGCAGGCAATTTATGAAAGGTTTCAGTGTCAATTTTCAGTGCAGTGCCAATTAATTAAAGGGTTGTGGGTATCTGATTTCAAAATGTTTGAAAAGCCACTTCTGATTTTTTTTTTCTAAATGCTCCTGGAAAATGTATTTGGAGAAGTGTATGAAAAAGTCAATACAAGCCTAACACTACAGATAGCATTTGATACACAGTTTCAAAATCACTGCTTTTTGCTTGGAGATAATGAAGGAAAGCAGTCAAAGGCAAAGTACAGGGAATATTTTTTGCCATTCTTGTAGTCCTTCTTTTTCATTCTTTTTCTTTATTGATTGATCTTTCCCGGTTGTCAGTGTGAGAGAAGGGACTGTCATCATCATATACCTGAAACACTTTGCTACAGCCCAAGGATTCGGAGAGATCAGTGAGGCTCCGTACCAGCAGGCAGCAGAACTGCCGTGTGCCTCGGGTGGTACCCATGTAAGAACCCCTGCGCCAGCACCAGAATTTTCTAAAGAATTTAGGATGATTAATTTTCCTTCTGCTTCATCTCAGCGATTCCCTCACTATTACAAGGCAGCGTTCAGGTCTCTGTACAGAGGTCTGGCTTCTCTGGTGCCGTGCTGCCGTGGCGTGTGACACCCGTGTGCAGGCAGCCCACCACAATCCTCCTGTGCCTGGGAAGCTGCTGTTCGGGTGGCCCCCGGGCCAGCAGGCTCCTGTTGCTGTTCAGATACTTCCGTGACAGAAAGCAGCGCTGTGACCCGTACGCGAGGCCGTCCCCAGGGGAGAGCCTGTGTCTGAGGACGTGGGCGCCTGGGACTCGGTGGCCAGCCAGTGCTCCATTTCTCTGTTAAAGTTAATTAGCGCTAAACAAAGATGAAATGTTATGCTGTGGATATTTATTCTCCTGGAAGCATAACAAAGATTGTCTTGATTCCTGCAAAATAAAGAATTTACTGCAGGCCACTCTTATATAGTTGTGACATTAAACTGACATCCTTCAGTCCCTGTTCTTCTGGCCTGGACGCTGTGGAAGAGCGAGCTCTGGGCTGTTAGCACTCTGTCAAACCCTCCCTCCTCGGAGCAGTTACGGTGATGATTTTGTGAGGCAGGATGGTTCTACCCTCTCCTAGAACATGGCATTTGGACCAGAAAACAGGCAGGGGAAACTTCCGTTCTAATGACAACTGACGAGAAAATTCTGTTGACTTCCATGAGAAAACAGTTAGGGTTGCGGAAAGAAATTATTTTCTCAAATTTCAGAGAGGAAATAAAAACTGGAGCCTTTTTTTGCCATTGAACAGTTGTTTTTATTTTTTTTTTATTAAAGTCATTATAAATATGTACAAAGAGTCTCAGCATATGAAAATCCTTTTACAAAAGAGAGAAGCCACATCCAACCATAAACAGGAGCCTTCATGAACTCCTATCAGCAGCGAGCAAATGCTTTGCTCTTGCTTTAATGAGGGTGGAAACTTGCACAGTGACTCTGCAAGAGTTTACATCCAAAGAGTACTAAATCAGTAGTGTGCAAGGAATTGGGTATTCACTGCATTTCATCTGGTTCATTCTGTTAGCAATGCATCTGGGAGCAGACGGGAAAATCTGCAAATGTCCTAAGGGCTGAAGATGATGGGGACATTTTTTCTTGTGATAAACTGTGGTCTTCAAATTGGCTGGAAAAGTTATGCTGTGAATACCCATGAAAACTAAATCCCACTGTAGTCAGTTTTCCTCTCTACTTTGGTGGCGTCTGTAACTAATAATGGATGTAACTAATAACGGCAGTTCAATACCCAGATGCTTTCAGTGAATATTTGACAAGTTCCAAAGTCACTTTCTGTAAGTATTAAAAAACCTGCGAAATTCAAGTATTCATGCAGAGTGAACACTGATGAAGTCTGACTGGAGTTACATGAAAATTCACTCTTGTATTCAACTAAATATCGTCAGGAAAAAAATGTTCACTCATTTTGGAGTTCTAAATTTCTCTTGCAGATGGGGAATGGCAATTCTGCAGCTCTGACTGGACAGTCAGCTTCCTCCCCCAGCTGCCCCGGGCAGAGCGGCTGGTTGGAAGACCCGCGCGTGGGAGCGCGTTCGGGGTGTGCTGGTGGAGGTTCCTGTTCGGCAGATGGTGCGTGGTTCAAGCCAGGACTGGCGGCGGGAGGAAGCGCACGAGAGCCTTACGCTGGGGACAGGGGCACACCTGTGCTGCGAGCAAAAGGGCTTGCACACCCAGGCCAGGCCAGAATTAGAAGACCAAGGTAGGGGCAGCACATGGGGATTCCTCTCCTCTGCTCAGACTAGCCGATGATTTGGTGTTTTCCTAAGGAAGATCAAGCCCCGTGTTATTTAGCCTTCCCTAGGTGTTTGGATTTTGAATTAACATGGCCAGTGTCCCCTAACCATCTGTACTGAGAGGGACACGTTCAGCTCAGCATACAGCGAGCAGTGCCTTGCAAAGTGCTCGACAAGAACAAGGCTGACTTTGAAGCTCGGACTCAAATTTGCTCTAAGCAAATCTGCTCTAAAAAAAAGTTGTGAAGCGAGTGTTCATCTGTTGTGGAGGTAGGATATAGCCAGGAGGTTTTGACATGGACAGAAAATGTGGGTCCAAGATTTCACTTGGAGCCACAGGTAGTTAGTTAGTTGTATGTATCTCAGACTTCTGTCAAGACCATGGGCAGATGTTTTAGAACCGTTTGTAGGAAAACTGAAATTAAATGTTAAGGTAGTTGTACTATTCTGTCCTCGTCATGAACCATTTTGTACATGGTAGTGCAGTTTTTAAGATCTCCTTCAGTTTTGTTTCCCGATTCTCCATTGCCCACCCAGGTGAGATTCTCCTCTGCCTGCCCAGCCCACGAGGACCACAGCAACAGCAGTATTTAACCCAACTGGTTTGTCTCCCGAGGCAGCGAGGAGAAGCGCCGTATTCCACAATGTCTGCAGACACAGAAACTGCACGGGTTTACCCGAACCTGTTTGTAAGCAGTTTCACTAGAAGGTACTGTTCCTGCTTTTGCAGTGGATTTAAGACCCTTACGATTTTAGCATGATACAGAAACAAAGCAAATTCACAAATCGGATCGCACTGATTTAACAAGTGTTTCTGATTTAAGTAAATTGCTTTAGTAAAGGTCTTAGCTGAATTAGATCAATTTCTGCATGCCCACATCTCTAAACCAGAAGTGTGGTGGGTTTCTCATTCCTCATCACTGACAACGCATCGATTTTGGTGATTGGCTGTATGTTTTTATTGGGTG